GTAGATCGCTTCGAAATCGGGCATAGATTCGACGTCTGGTCGTTTTTCTCGAAACTATTCTAAGTCCCTGATCGAATGCACGCGAATTTTTCTAAGTCCCTAGTTTTAATGATTTGAATGTACTCACAGTTCTTTGTCCACAATTATGCACTTCACTTCACTACTACGAAGTTCAACGATGATTCCCGATGTATGTCCTCGGCAGCTGAGCACGTAGTCTTCCACATGTGGTATTGTTAACCGACAACTATCACCATCTCGTATCAATTAGCACAACTATATTTAATTGTATGTGTTCTTCCATAAACACCCTTCGGCTCGACTGGACCATGAACAGTATCGGCCGAAAGTCCTTTGGGGCCGATTACTTGAAATAATACGAAGTACCTCAGAGCAAGACAATTTATTTACGTCAAAGCAGACAACCTAATGTTTTGCCGGTAACGAAACCATAGCTTGAATTTAAATCGGCCAACGCCATCTATCGAGCTATGGGACAACACAATAAATAGTAGTATGGCGTTGGCCGAGTGCATCTTTTAAACAGATTATTTCTACACTGAACATACGTTCTTTTTGTTTTATCGAAAATGTTACCTAATCCCGCACTCAAGAGTAGGTCTGATGTGTGTATAACTTAATAAATAACCACACGACCTTGAAGTATAGGTTCCAGCTTGAATTTTTTAATTTCCCTCTACAATACCCCTTTTTACACCGATATTTTACTTCTAATTTTAACCCTATTACATGGGACTCATAACATTAATAGTGAAAAGTGATTGTTACATTGTACAATGGCGTTAAGTGATGTAATGTGCACCTCTGCCTACCCCTTCGGGGATAATAGGCGTGATGTTATGTAATTATGTTATTTTACTTCTAATTAGATACTCCTTAAATTCCTTTAAAATCTACTATGAAATTAACAAAACCAAAGACACAACTCACACTTGACCGATCCTATAATAACCTACCATCAATACTGCTTTAGTTGTGCATATAAGTACAAAACGAGTAACTAATGGGCTATCAACGGCTTTGTTCTATTTGCGGGCGGAGACGCGGCGCGAAACGATGCCGATGCGCTTATTTTGACATGCCTTCATTATCGATGGGGTGTGTGAACTAGTGGGAGCTAAGCTAAAGATATTAAAAACAGAATAGAAATAACTAACAAATTTCGAAATTCCACAATAATCGTATGCTTAACCATGTAACTATCGTAGCATTTGCTACGAGCCCTAGGCAACACAGTAACCAAATTCATCTCCTCTATAAGAGACATTTTTGTGAAAGTCGTAGTGTGTTTGGGAAGAAAAAGTCAAAAGTCAAAGCATTTATTTCAATTAAACCATAATTTGGTACTTTTGAAACGTCAACAAATACAAAATAATTAATTGTCTGTCAGTCAGTCCGTCAGTGAAGCTAGGTGAAGGTGGTTCCTCATTCCAAAATCAAATAGAAACTTAAGAACAAGATACTTGCAGTGACATACTTCTACACCCTGTATAAGATCAAGAGTACCTACATAAAAAAAATGCTACGCGCCTACATCATATCCATTGCTAACTTCCTAAGTCCATTTGCAATTTGGAAGCAAAAACTCGCTCACAAACATTCATCATTTCTTAAACTTAATAATCTTTAGGATAGCAACAATAATCTGAGCGTGTACTCCATGCCTTAGTAGAGTGCAGCATAGAGTGCGCTAGTCTAAACAAGGGGGCGGCGAGTGGTACAAATTGAACTATCGCAACTCGCGCCAGTAACTGGCACGCAGGGCTGCCACTCGCACCCACGTGCCATCTATTTATGACATACTCTGCATACACTTCACATACAATAGAAGAGACGTAATTAAGTTCCAAAATACCGATAGAATATTTGCAATGTGCAGATATTCGGTATACGTTGTAATTTTGTATGCAAGAATTTTTCAGGGATGTCCCTTCTGATCGAAAGTTAAGAAAAAAGGGTTAATATTTTGTTTGTGTATTACATAGTTTCTCTAAAATAATGTTATTGCCTATTTTTCATTTAACTTCGAAAGTGCGTAAATATTTTCTATAATCATCTATACCTTGCACCCATATACATAGAATAGGAACACTATATTGTAGCAGCATCAATTTAATACAGACTTACTTTCTAAGACGCTTCTACGTGAGTTACTACTTTTCTAATCTTCCACATCCCTAAGCTTAGCACATCATTAGACATTATGGGTTCTAAGTTGGTATTAAAACAAAAAGTAAAGACTACCCAGCTCATAACTGCTAATCTGATCGGTGACAAATGACAGCCCTAAGCCTAATATTAACATAGATAAATCGTAGCTTCAACAAACTGGCGATTGACGCAATAAAACCTGGGTTAGTATTGCCATCATTAATCCATATAAATTTACTTGCTAAAAATAAATTGGCAACCCTAAGAGACACAGCTGCAACGGCCAATAGCTTATTGCTTGGACGTTCTACGTTTGAATTACATGTTGCAAAGTTATTTATGCACTACATAAGCAATTTAGACAGTCTTACAGTTTGGGAATAAGGTTAAAGTTTGCTTGTATTTGAGTTTAGCGGTGGTAGATGGGTTGGTTAAAGTATTCGTCTCGATTAAAACGATAGAAATGCAACAGCAATTCGATATTAGTTATAAGGAGCGAGTGTGAGTAGTCACTGGAATGCGCAGAATATATCGAGATGCCGATTGACAAATTGTGTGCGCTCTGCTTGTACTGTGCCTATTACTACATACTCTAATCTCATGACATTATATTAGGAAACATTGAACGTCAACACTGAAAGAAGCAATTAAATCAAGAAGTGCAGATTTAAATAAAAATAAATGTAATGTTCATTCACAGCTTTCGATACTAAACTTAGCTGAATACTTATTTCTGTATATTGTTCACCTACATAAGGAAAAAGACGTAATAAAAAAGGAAACATAAATTACTGTGACATCATCATAATAAAATATTTTAAAACATCTATAAACCACACATGGAGTCCCAGTAATGTGTATAAACATAAACTGTCAGAAACTACAGTTTTAAATTCTACTTGAAACACATCAATTAAGGTCCACCATAACCTTTTACATAAAACTTAAGTGCAGCAGTTTGCGAGTATGAAACTAAAAAACAAACATACAACCGCTAGTGATAAAAACACAATGCGATGACTAACAGCTAAGAGTGAACGCACACTACGCGACAACGCAGCTTGCGTCATAAAATGCAGACCGCCACATATTGCTTCGATTTTGTAATTCATAGAATTGTTCAAATTGCAATAGATTTGCAAATGAACCGATAAACACGTTCTGCTATTAAATTAATTAAAATGCCGTGATGTTGAACATCGTTTGTGGTTGGATTGCGTTACATAATTTGCTACAATCTAAATTACGAAAAATAAAAATTACAATAAGTATATTAATAACCTAGGTAGGTACATTTTCTCCAAACAAAACCTAATCAATACACAATCAATCACAACGATAAGAACACATTCTTCGATTCGCATAGTTGCAAAATCACTGAACCGAGCCACTTAATTCATGTAATTAAGATTTTTTTTATTTTTTTTTTTATAAACATTGCCCCACACTAGGATTTTCTCCTGTGTCGTGGGTGCGTTTACAAACATACAAATTCACATACACAATGACACCCAGACCCGAAACAACAATTTGTGGATCACACAAAGTGTTGTCCCGTGCGGGAATCGAACCCGCGACACGTTGCACGGCAGCCGGTTGCCCAGCCACCGCACCAACCGTGCAGTCAAATGATGAAAAGATGATAACTTTATTATCGGGAAAAGACATCCTACAAGTCTCGCAATATGCGCCGACTCTTACGAAAACAATGTGCCCATCTGCGTCCATTGGCGTGTACTAAAAATTATTACCCTGCCCAAAACGAGAGCACATTGCACAGAGCAACCCTGACTAATTGACTGTGATTTACAACTCGGCCGGGTTATATAACCTCATGAACTTCGGGGAATCTTATGTGAAGTTGTGTTTATTTGGCACCGTGTGTGGGATCCTAATGGATCGCCTTACTGACCGGTTACACACCACTCTGTTGCGGACTTCAAAGTACACGCATATGCTTATTGCTACCAAGTTATTGGGTCACGATGGTTTATAATTCACTTAATAGCTGCACAATTTTGATTGACTGCTGAAGTAAGCTGTTAGGAGTCAATTAAGAAACTCAATTAGATTCCTTTTATAGCAAGCAAAACAAACGAGAGACAAGATAGACAGGTTTCTCCTTCATCATAAAATTTAAAGCATTGTATAATCCATACTAATAGGGACATTAAACAAAATTAACGATGCAAGAGTAAGGTTGTCAAAAAGGACACATTTCACAATGAGTCAACAGTTTTATTAGTTGGAATTCAATTAGGCCGTGAATTTAAATAGCCGTCGTCGGCCCACCCCTAACTCAAACATAACCGCAGTGTATTCAAATTGCGTTTTCATTGCATTTAATTGGAGGGGCTGAAAGCAACGTTGCAAACTGACAGTTTAAAAAATAAAAGCAACATTTATTATGTCGCCCACCCAAATGGTGGTTTCTCGAGGTTTGTGTCGCAACACTAACTTTTACTCAAATATATAACGCATACAATAAAATCTCGGATTATAAAAAACCAGTCATTTTACTTCAAACTTGTCATTAATCAAGTCAACTGGTCCAGTAATTTTGTCATAATCAAGACGTTTTCCCCGAAATTCTTCAGCTCACGATCATCTACATCTAGATTTCAATTTTTAGATTTAGAATTTTAATGGCTACCATAAAAAATCTAAATTTACCGATACTTTCCGATGAGACACTATTCCAAGAATACTAAACTGGATTTGATTGGACAGACAATATTGAAATGGATGACCAATTTCGAGAGTGTCAATTTTATATTTAGAGGTAAGATCTGTAAAAATAGAAAGACGTAGAAATATAAATATCTCACCTTTACTGATCCGCTCGTCTTCCAGCCATCCCGGGGAATCTTTAGACTTTGGCACGGACAGGTTCAGGGGCTGCTCCTCACATTTATAATAAAGCACTTTATCAAACTCACTGTCACTAGTTCTCACACTTTTCTGCAGCAACTGTTCTTGCAGTTTATTCTTATGAACACTTATTAAGTTCCTATCACCTTCCGACACTTGCACACTCTTCTCCTGGTACCCGAAAGGTTTTTTTACATCAAAATTTATTTTCACATTCATCAGCTGACTCACTGTCGACTTTTTAGTTTCGCTACTTTTATCTACATTTGAAAGGCCTAAAATATAATCTATCGTGTGCGGGGTCGGCTTCTTCGGTGGTTTCCCGTAGACGTGCGGATGCCATGATGGTTCGGACACTTCGTCTTTTTTCTCTTCTGAGGTTTTGATCTCCTCATCTCTACTTTCAAAGCTATCTACATTAACGTCCGAAGCGTCTCTAGATTCGTCTATTATTAAATCTTCTTTGTCATCTTCTACGTTTATTTTTTCGCTTGGACTGAGCCTGTCGTCTGCACATTGGAAGAAGTTGTGGTCGTTGGTGAAGTTCTGTACGTCTATGAGCGTGTTGTCTTCCTGGTGGGGGGTGTACGAAGATACTACAGTTTGCATTTCTTGTTCTTTAGTGTCGTCACTCATGTGTTAGTCTTTCAATGTGTACGGAAATAATACATGTTTGTTTTTATGATTGTATTAGTGCTTGATTGCTGGTGTGGGTGTCGTGTCGTTTGATGTCCCACTTTGATGTCGGCGTGATGTTGTCGTTCGCTTCCTGCAACAAACACACGAGCCGTATTATTGAGTGTTTGATTGAAATGAATTATGCTGGAGTTAGTTCTGCTCGCTAAGTGGATGATGTATTGATTTTTTTATCTCGTGATGATTGAATGTGATGTTATCTGACAAAGTGGTGTGAATGTCAAAACACAGTGTTTGGTCATTAATCATAAAAAGTTTGGAAAAGTTGAACAAACTACCCATTAATTGAGAATCAAAATAAAACAGTTCGCACAATGTAAATATGTAGTATGAAAGCAGTGGTCGTGTCGCATTCAGTTCACAAAACTCTAATAAACACGGGTACATCAACAGTAGCCACAAAATGAATTAAACGATACACTAACAGCCCAATAAACGGTTCGTGCTCTATCTCGCGGCGGCGGGGTACCGCTCCCCCCCTCCCCCGCCGCCCGCACCGCGCGCCCCCGCCCGCTGGTCCCCGGGGCGAGTGGGGTGCACGCACACAGGCACACGGGATCAACTGATCGGTAAGCGCTGATTGATTTTTATTGGAATCACATATCAAGGTTGTCGCGAATTGTTTGTTTTTGTATTGTTTCAATATACCGGTAGACACCTACATATGTAAGTACGTACATACATGCAATGTTTTTTATTTGATGAACACCTGTGTCTACATATTGTTGTTCCCGACTGAAATTATTGTATTTTTGTTTTGGGTATAACATTTTAATATGTAATTTATCTGATTCTATCAAATTATAGCATGTCCTACATTATGCAGATACGTAAATGTTTCCCAAATTAAATTCAGTTACTTTAGACTAATAATCATTTAAAATAATCAGTCAATTAGGATAATCAGTTCCACAATTAGATTGAGGTGAAAGATATGATCCGCGAAATGAATTAATTTAATTAATAATTCTTGTTCATTGTGACCTAGTATCATTAATTAGTAGAGTATTTATCAACAAATTGAACCGAATACATCATAAACATTGGTACTTATCTTCACAGATAAATGTGATAAAAAATAATGTATGTATTAAAAATAAGCGATTTCTATTGTTCCTAATACGATTCTAATACATTGAACAAGTAAAAACATACTACCATTTATCTTTCTTACTTATCGGCGATATCAACCAATCTTTGTTCGTGTGTATATCAAAAATAACACAACGAACATCTATTTAGGTGGGGAAAATAAATATATGAAAACGTGACAACCCTAAGGGACGAAACTGAAACAAAGCGGCGACTGGAAAACACGACGACACGACACAACGATACAAAGCGATTCGCAACTATTCACAACGAGTCGCAACGATTGGCGTTTAATCGCAACCATCCTGAATATTTGCCCTCACTAGTGATGCGTGTCCAGTGTGCACTTTACAACACACAAATTATTTTAATTAAATATTGTTTTAACACACGAAACCCTTTTAACTGAGTCCACGCTTGTGAAGTCTGATGGTTACCTACTTATATTCCAGTGTATAAATACATGAACTAAAATGATATAACACTACTTAATAATCGATTTTATTTATGCAATATACGATACATTAGCAAACAATTGATATAAATAGGAATGCAACAAATAGTTCTACCGTTAACATGTTAATACAACCACTAGGTGCTTGTTTTTTCAGTTCATTAATTGTAATGTATTTTAATAAAGTTCCTTTATAACAGTGACCGACATATACATTTACTAAATCGTAGATATTTAGTTTTACGCATCAAAATATACATTAGACAATAAATATTTTGAACCAAAACCATTTTCTACCCTCGCAGTTATCATTATAAAGTTACCTCGAACACGATTGCTGAGTCCCTCTTTATGAAAACCTCTTGTAAGAGGGAAGGATCAGTTCATTGACAATCAGCCCTCACTATGGCATTCCCTCCTCACTCCTGTCAGTCCTCACGGTTTGTTACGGCCGTGGGGCAGTTTTTCCTTCGATGATTTTCTTTTCAACGATGTTTGTTATCGTGACGTCATGCGACTTGAGATGAATATCAATGTCACTGAGGTAAATGGTTCGTTGTTTGAAAATGTAACAATTTTTGTTTGATGTTATGGAATTTTATCGATGGGTGTTCTCTGAAGAAATTGTTACTGTTTCAGATTAAAGAAAAAGGATTGTTTGTTCGATGAATAATAAATTATTTCGCCTAATAATGACAGACTCGTACAAAATTCATTTAAATAAGTCCCTATTTAACAATTTACTGAATAATACGCACGATAATATCATATTACTATTCATTTATCGTGCATAATAATATCGTCAATTAATTATCGTTTTAAGAATAGAATGATTGATAATAATATATGTGTATTGTATATTTATATGTAATTTAAAGTCACATTGTAATTAGATATTCTAAAATGTTTTTGCAATTAATTAATCGTTTATTACAAAATTATTTTAATTGCGAATTCTACTTCCTATCAGTACAAACGTATGCTTTTAGTCTGTAAAGTGATGCAAATTTTCATCGTTTTGCGATAAGCGATTGAGCGAGCGATAGCGATGAATTATTTTGTAATACATAATTTATTGTTTTACTCATGAAATTTATATAGGAGTGCTTATTTTACTTACAATACTTTTGACAGTTATTTTTAAACTGAAATTATTACAAATACAAAACCTAGGTACCTAAGAAGAAAACTTACCAACCAGGGAAAGTCTGTTGCAACAGTTTGCCTCATAATAGAAATGACCAATAAGCCGCACTCGCAGTTAATTTATAATTAGTCAGTGAAAAATAAGATTGTACGCTGAATCGCTCTACGGAGGATTGTTTCCATTCGTGGGTTTTTGCGGTATAAAGGCGTGTACACACTTAGATACTTAAATGTGGAAACTAATTATTAATTGGTCAATATATCATGAGCTTTTACCCTTTATAGTGATTTAAGCAGTGATTTTGATACAATCACTTTACTAGTATTGTTTATTACATTTTTTTCACGATTTCAATATAACAGTCATTATTCGCCAATAAACTATGTTATAAGTGAATAAGTCCCATGACATACAGAACCTCTGTTTCAAAATTACTTAACCTTTAACCAAAAAACCTCGACATAAAACCTCAACTACATTTTGCACAACCCGGGAATCCTAAATACCTATACCGCACAAAACTACCGTATTTTACAAAACACTCGGTTTTTTTTTGTCAGTGGTTACTATCTGTATAGTGGGTACTACAGTGGGTATTGAAAAATGTGTTCTCCGGAAACAATCGCGCCGGGAGGGCGGCACACGGTAACTCATCAAACTAAACAAGTCCAGTGTATCCTGGTCTCGCTCTGCAGGGTCTTTGCGCCCATTCAACGGTCTGTTTATACTGGTACTGTATAGCTTGACGTGTGATTGTGGACTAGGTATAACTTTTACGTAGTGTGTGAAGTGAACAATTCCGAAATCATAATTTTTATACGTATTAGTTTTGTGCTCATTGAGGATAGACTTTATCAATGAAGAGTTGTTGATTTAATCACTTAACATCCAGTCATATCTTTGTGTAAAAGTTCGCAAGTCATTGTAATTACCTGCATGATTGGCGCAGTGGTTGAACGTTTGCAAATTAGCGTGGGTTTGATTCTTATACGCCCCAATACTGAAAGCTTACTCTCTCTTTCTTTTTATCATTTTTACATCTCTGTCATTTTACAAAGAATTTGAAATGACAGGACTATGTTAAAGCGCTGCTTAAAATTGAGTAGCCTTTCAATATTCGGGCGATAGAGAGAGAGCTAAATGTAAATTAAAAAGATGGCAGTCAGAATATCCACCGTGCAAGCATCGTTTTATATAACTTTTTATGAAAAACGGACAATATATATGTAACTTTAAACATAGTTTTTCAAGTCCACGATTTCAGAATACGTACCGATACTAATGGATTCGAAAATCTACAGAAAAATATTTAAGGCAAATCCTCCGCTAACGTAGGTCACCGGTGACCTACGCGGCAGTTAACGTGTTAACTGGAAAATCTGACCCCTTGCCCCACTACCCTCTACAAACAAGTCAGTTCAAGATAGTTATTTATTATCCAAGTTATAATAATATCAAGTGACAATGTGCACAATCCTTAAACCCGCGGCACATTAATGCACACCAATTAAATAATTATATTATGCTTACATACATAATACAACACAGGGATTGACGTCAATCGCCAACACTATGCATACATACGTATGTAAACTATACACAAACACAAGCAATTATCAGTCTTATTTACATCTCCATAAGCTACATATTACATATCTAAGATGTGAAATTATTTGCTACTGAAGTGTTAAGTTTCAAAAAGATATTCGTTTGTTTATAAATATAAACATATTGATGTAGGTACAGTGCACATCAACCTACTCAATTGTGTCAATTTTTGTCGTGGGATTTTCGACTTTATACGTAAACGATAGAGTTGAAAATAAATTTGACATAAAAGGGTAGTTTGACCCGCTGCCCATTGGACAAATTCGTACATGGCCGTTGCATTATTTGTTACAATTACCTATTTTCGTGTCATTTTATTATGATACCTACGTGTGTGGTATTAAAGATTATTGTAATTAATTTGCTTATTGATGATAATGGTATCCGCTGTTATCTCTATAATCTTATCTTTTCTTGTGGACTACTTACCATATTTGAATATGTAAAGCTGATTTGAGTACTAATGACGGCTATTGGGCCGCCCCCAATTACATTAGATACCACTTGGCCATGCCCATTTTCCACTTACAACTTTAAAAAAAAACGTTGCCCCACACTAGGGTTTTCTCCTATGTCGTGGGTGCGTTTACAAACATACAAGTTCACATACACATAACACCCAGATCCGGAACAACAATTTGTGGATCACACAAAGTGTTGTTCCCTGCGGGAATCGAACCCGCGACACGTTGCACGGCAGCCGGTTGCCAAGGTTCCGTCCAATTCGATTCCCGGGTCGGGCAAAGTATTAATGAGTTTTTTAAAAAATCAG